ACTTCAGCATGTAGAGGTTTTAAACTACTAATTAAATTGCGCACACACGTTATTATGTTACTTGAATTTTACCTCATAAAAGGAGCTAAACCAACAAAGGAGATTTATAATGGGTTTATAAATAATTCCAAAAGAAGGCAGAAAAAGAGGAAAGAAGGGAATAAAGAGCATACAGGATAAATAGGAGATAAATAGAAAGATGATAGGCTTAAGCCTATCAATAATCACACTAAATGTAAATGGTATAAATACTACAATTAAAAAACATTGGATTTTACAAAGCAAGACCCAACCACATGCTACCTAGAAGAAACACACTGTAAATATAAAAACATAAATAGGTTAAAAGTAAAAGAATTGGGAAAGATAATACCATTGCTAACACTAATCAAAAGAAAGCTGAAGCAGCTACATTAATAGTAGGCAAGAAGGTTTCAGAGCCAGAAATACTGCCACAGATAATGAAGATCATTCTATAATGGCAAGAGTCAGCTAATCAAGGAGCCATAATAATCTTAAACATTTATGCACCTAGTAATAAAACATCAAAATGCATAAAGCAGGAAATGGATAGAACTACAACAATAAATAGATAAATACAATAGCAGGAAAATTTTCATTCCCTCTTGATAATTGATAGGTCAAGTAGGTAGAAAATCAACAGGGATATAGTAGACTTGGACACTATAAGGCAACTTGACTGATTAACACTGGAGGACCACCCAACAACAGAACACACGTTCTTCTCAGGTGCACACAGAACATTTACCAAGATTCAGAAGACTGCAAGCCATGCCATGTTGTCTGACCATAGTGAAATAAAATTAGAAATTATAAACAGGAAGATCCAGAAAATTCCTAAATATTTGGAAACAAAGTAACACACTTCTAAGTAAGACATGGACCAAAGAAGAAACAAAAAGAGAAATTAGTATTTTAAGCTGACTTGGAGATGGAACTACAACATATCAGAATTTGTGAGATGCCACTCAAGCAGAAGTAGGGGTGTAATTTATAGCACTAAACAGAAACATCAGTGAAACCAAAAGATGATTCTTAAACAAGACTGACCAAGGAAGAAAAAAAGACAAGACACAATTACACCAATCTCAGCAATGCGAGATGTGTCTCCTACATATTCCAGAGATACTGAAAGGGAATATTATGAACAACTTTATGCCAACAAATTGAGCAAGATGAAATGGACAAATTCCTCAAAAGACCCAAAATACCAATGCTCACTCAGGAATAAATAGCTAATCTGAAAAGTCCTATATTTCCATTAAAGAAATCGGAATTACAGTTGAAAACCTCACCAAGAAAACATTAGACCCATGCACCTTCACTGAGGAATTCTAACAAATATTTAAGGAAGAAATAATATAAATTCTACACAAACTCTAATAACCAAATAATTAAACAGAAGAAAATACTTCTCAGTTCATTCTGAGACAAGCATTGCCCTGATACCAAAATCAGGCAAAGATACTACAAGAAAAAGCATACTGAGTTACCACCGCCCAAGAGAAAAAGAAATCTATGTTCAGGCAAAAACCTGTATATAAATAGTTCCTAGCAGTTTTACCTGTCATAACTAAAAACTAGATTAGTTTGTATTTTCTGGAGTTTTAGATAATATGGAATCATACAGGCTGTATTCAACAACCCAGGTGAATGAATTGTGGCACATCTGACCAACAGATACCTCTCAACAATTCAACATGATGGGAGTCTCAAAATAATTACGCAAGTGAAAGAAGTCATGCAAAGAAGAGTACACCCTATATATGATTACACATTTCTGAAACCAGAAAATGCAAAGTACTTCACAGGGACAGCAAGCAGGTCAATTGTTGCTTAGGGAAGGGGGCGAGCAGGGAGGCATTACCAAGGGGCACAAGGCACCTTCTGGGTGTGACAGGTTTACTGTCTTGATTGTGGAGGTGGTTTCATAGATGTAAATAGAGGCCATACTGCACACTTTAAACTTGTAACACTTGGTATATCTATTGTAATTCAATTGTACTGCAATGAAGGATTATTTTTAAAATAAGACATTTTAAAATATAAAACTGAAGTATCCAGTTGGGTAAAGAAATACTAGTCTCCATTGAAGAATGATGGCTGTCTCTAAGAAGTATGTTTTCTTTTCCCGCCAAGGCCTATAGAGAAAAACCTCTGTGCTAAGTTGATATCAGCCACGGGGATCAGTCACCTGAGATTTTGGATTCTCAAGATGAAGACTGAGTAGAGGCTGACACTTGCTGTAAACTCGTATCTTAGAGCACCTTATCTGGGCTCAAATAACCTCCCTAATGAGATACAGAAGTTCCCAAGTGTTGGTCACGGAGGTCCTTAGGAGCGTAGGTATCTTTTCAATGTATCCTTTCAGTGCTATCGACATCCTGGCAAGGTGGGGTCAGGCCTGAGGAGGCTGAGGCCTGGAGAGGTGCAGGCACAACATGCAGCTGGCCCCGCCAGGCTGCCAGAGATGGGCGTGGGTCCCGTGGCCCTGAGCATGGGGCTGGGCTCCATTCAGTCTGACAAGCTTCCAAACCCACTCCTCATTAATGCTGTTGAGTCCTGGAAGAGGGCAGAGCCTGGGTCTTCACTGCTCCCCCCACCCCTCACCATTGTGGCACATGAGGAAATGAGGCACAGGGAGGTCCTGACTGGCCGTGCTCCAAGGGCAGTGTGGCTGGCAGTCTCTCCCTGCCCCAAGATGCCTGCCAGCAGAGCCACCAGGATGGTCTCCTGCCTCAAACGCCTCTGGCAGGGACTTGCTCAGAAGTTCCAGTGAACTCTTGGCCCCCGGGATGGCTGTGAGGCAGCATCAGGCAGGGTCGGCATCACAGACTGAGGCCAGGCTGCCTGGTTCATACCCCGGCTCCTGCAGTTCCCAGCTTTTTGACTCTGGGCAAGTCACTCAACCTCTCCCTGCTTCCAGTTCACTCACCTCCAAAGTGGAGGTGGTAATAGCACCCACCATACAAGCGCAAAGAGAATCAAAGGAGTGTACAGTCACTGGAACAGTACCTGGCCTAGGGAAAGGCTATGGAAGCGCTCCTGAAGTAAACAGATAGCCTCAGCACTGCCTAATCCCGAAGGCTTGGGCTCCAGCCATGTCCACCCAGAAAGCTTTGGGTGGAGGCCCCGCTGACGCTGAAGAGCCTGCCCTGTGACCCTCACATGGCACGCACTTCCCAAGCCTTATGTCGTCCTCACGTCAGCAGGATAAGAGGAAGCTTGCTTTACCTAGTTTCCGAGATAAGGGAACAGGACCCAAGAGGACCACGCCACCAGCAGCGGAGGACAGAGCTGGGACCAAGCCAAGCCTGTCTGTCTCCAGGACTGGGCCTGGGCGAGGCCCGCTCGCTGCCTCCTCGGCCTGGAATCCCCGCGTCCTAGAGTGTCCCTGCATGCAGCGTCGCCTTGCTGGTGGTCATGAGGCCCTGACGGGAGGGCCCTACAATGGGGCAGTGGACCTGCCTGGCAACAAGGCCAACCCTCTTCCTGTGGGCCGTTTCACGCTCCAGCTCAGCTGTTACGTCGAGTGCCTCTGTCCAAGAGGCAGGGAGGTTGAGACCAGCTGCTGCCTGGACTCCCCTGGAGCTCGCCTGGCAACACCCGGCTCAGGTCCTCACACCACCCTGGTAGAAGTCTCTCCGGTTGGTGACATTCAAGGTTTGTGGGCTGGATCCGGGCTAGTGGTGGGCAAGGAGTGAGGAGGGCAGGGGGAGACACAGAGCTCGGCATTTCTCCAGCAAGGAGTCCCCAGAGAGCACAGCCGCCTGCGTGTGTCGGGCTCATCAGCCTGCCGGCCCCAGGCCAGCCTCCCTGTCACTCCCCTCTCTGCTGGCCCCTTCCACTTTCCACCCCGCTTTGCCTGCTCCCGGGAGTGTGGGCCCCTGTTCCATCTCTTTTCTGGCTCAGGAGGCTGCCATGCCTGCAGCTGGCCTGGGGTGTGCTGTGATCTGTGCTCACAATCCCTCCCTTGTGGGCCATAGCTGTGGTCAGCTGGGGGGCCTGTGCACATAGGCCCTCCTAGGCATGGGTGTCCTCACCTGACAGGGTCCCACTGCCCCCAGACCTGGCCTACGGCTCCACACAGGAGTGTGTGGCCCCTGGACTCCCCAGCTTGGGCCTCAATTTCCCCCATGGACAGCTCTAAATTCCTTTCTTGTCTCTGTGCCCAACTCCTAGACTGAACCCCGGCTCTCCACACGGGGCTTTGAGGGTAACCAGGGCCTTACCTTCTGGTCTAGGGCCTGTCCCGTGGTGCTTGTGGTGGGTACAGCCCCCTGCTGTGAGCGGGCTACCTCATGGGGCAGCCCTAGGACAGCTCTGCCCCAGCCCCTTGGTGCTGGCTGTGCCCACGTCCACCCCTGCATGCTCTCTTAGGTCCCCCCCAGGAAAGGACTGTACAGGTACATGGGCCCATAGGGCCTGGAGGGAACACACAAGCTCTCTGTATCTGGTCCGACATGTCTCCTAATCCCACAGAGTTGCCCATTGGCCAAGTACAGGAGGCCTGTGGTGGTACTAGGGGTGGTGGGCAGTGCTGTGCCCAGTGGAACATGAGCTTTGCCCCCACTCAGCACACTCTTGTCCCGGGCCCAGAGGGCCCTGGTGGGAGGTCAGCAGCCTGGGCTCAGGTACGAGTTTGCTGTGGGGCTCGTTCCAAGCTTTGCACCTTTCTGGGCTCCCAACCGCTCTTCTCCACGCCCTTCCTACGGGAGAGGGCCGTGTTCCTGGTGGCCTCCTTTAACTCGCCAGCCCACAGATGGACTCAGCCCCCACCTTGGTGTCTGTGGCCCTGCCCAGGGAGCCCCTGGGAGAGGTCAGTGTGAGCTGGTCCCTCCCTTTCAGGTACGCAGTGTCCCTGAGTCCTTGGCCACCCCTTCCCCCAGCAGCAGGGCTGGTGCTCGGTGGCCCTGAGGTCCCTGATGCAGAAACCCTGAGGCAGAGTAAAGTGTCACCCTTTATTGTGGGATCTGCTCTGCACAGTGGGCCCCCAGCCCCTCCTGCTGAGGAAGGCTGAGGCTCCAGCCTGGGCCGACTGGCTTCCATCAAGCCCATTCTCCTTGGGTCCCCCTAATCCCAGGCTGAGCATTTTTCCTGGATCTCTGGGGGACCTCCAGGGCCTCTGCCATACCCTGTCCCCTGTGCTCGGGAGCATCATCAGTCAGGCAGTAGGAGCCAGGGTAGGGGTGGGTCACCTGGAACAGCAGACCTGAGGCTCAGACCCCTGCCCAGCTGCTGCAGAGCCCCAGGTGGAGGCAGGGATGGTGGCTGCGGCCACACTGCACCCCGGCTCGAGGTCCAGGCCCTCATAGATGGTGGGGAGTGAGGTTCGTTGGCTCAGCTGCCGGCTCAGGCCAACCAGCAGAGGCTGGGGCAGGGAGGCCACATCGACGTTGTTGCCCAGGTCCACCCAGGCCAGGGCGGGGAATTTGGTGGTGTCCTCGATGGCCTCAGTGAGCTCGCGGGCGGTGGCCCACATCAGCCGTTGAGCAGGAGCTGGGAGAGGCAGGGCAGTGCCCAGAGGCTGGGCACTAGCAGGTGCAGAAGCTCCTCAGTCAGCTCGCTGAAGCTCGGGTCCAGCACCGCCAGCCCAGCTCCCTGGCTGCTCAGGTAACGTGTTATGTGCCGCAGGTCCCGTGCTTTCAGCGGGATTCCCGAGAGGCTCATGGGCTCCCCCGCCAGCTGAGTCTTCCGGAGGCTGCTCCTGAGGCTGTGGGAGGGTTGCAGATGGGGTGGACTGAGCAAGGGCCCGTGGCCCAGGCGGCTCCTGGCAGCTGCAGACAGTGAACTGCCAGGCTGCCTGGGGCAATGACAAGGCCCGGGCCCTCCAGTTGCGCCAACCTGGCAACAGCTGCCGCTTTTTAAACGTGTGGCCATGGGCAATGCTGGGAACCTGAGTGTAAGTTTCCCTTTTGGTGAAAAGGAGACCTGGCTGTTACGAGGATTAAATACAGACGTGTTCAGGCTCCACAAGCTGCTACCATTACAAAGACCTACTGCGCTCCTGCATCACCTGCTACATCTACTGTCTCACTGGTGCTTTTTATGCCAGCCCAGCAGGGTAGGAGTGATTATCCCCTCTGCAGAGGGGCACAGGGATGTCAGATTGGAGATGTGAGTCTCTCAGGGTCACACGCCACCAAGTGGGGAGCCAGGTGTCCAAACTGAGGTACTCTGACTCAAGAGCCCACATGTTTTTCCCACGCTTCCTTTAAAGTTGGCCCTCTGTGGGGAGGCAGAGACGTTCAGGTGAGGGCGACAGGGTATCAGGCTGGTGTTCCCAGGCCATGGGGGCCAGCAGGGGACAGGTCCAGGGCAGCGAGAGGGGAGGTGGTGGTGGATGAGAGGGTAGGACCTGCCCTGGGGAAAGGGCTCCCTGTGTCTAAGCTGGAAAATTAGCTTGGAGATTGAGGAGTGCCCCCCACTGCCTCCAGAAACCCCCTCTAGGTCCCTCCTGTCATTGGAACATAGTCCACTAGGCAGATAGGCCAGACTGGGGGTTGAAAGTAGTGGGACCCCCTCCAGGGCCCCCACCTGCCACGGCAGGAGCAACTCTCTAGGCTCCAGGCTCAGCTGGGGCTACCAGGCCCAAGGGGCAGGCGGGCAGGGGAGAGCCTGGAGCCGTGGCACTGGGACCCTGGGGTGGCCGGTTCCCAGGCTGCCTATGGCCACGAGGAGAGGTGGGGAGAGGTCGCCAGGGCAGAGTGAGCTAGCAGGCAGAGAATTCCCAGAGGGCTGCAGGAAAATCAGGCCAGGCTGCGGCCTAGGGCAGACCGCTTTGCCCCTCCCTGCCTCGGTTTTCTTCCTGTAAAATGGACCCAGAATCTGTCTCCTTCACAGCCTGTTGCGAGGATTCGCTGATGCCCGCTGAAGTCTTCTTGCTATGGGGTGGGGATGGGGTGTCAAGCTCTGTGACAGGCCAGGGAAGGAAGGGCGAGCAAAGGTGGGTCAAAGGGAGAGTGTAGCTTTGCTAGCGGGGCATCGAGTGGGGCATCTGCTGCCACTGGCCAGACTGGCTTCCAGGCAGATGAGGGTGAGAGGCCCACGGGTGGGATTTGAGACACCAGCCTCTTGCTGAGAGAAGCCTGGAGTCTCCCCTAGAACTGGCCCTGCCTCTCCATGTCAGCCTGGCACGGCACCCTGGGGGCTGTGGGGCAGGGCTGAAGCTGGGATCCCCTTACCAGTTCCGAGTCTTCCTCTGGGGCAGGCTGGACCCTCGCTGCCTGTGGAGTGAGGGGCAAGGTGGTAGATGAGCTGCCAACAGATCTTGTCTGAGGATTTCCAGAGTTCATAGTCCTGTGGGTGGGTGGGCAGCGTCACCCCTCCCACCCAGCCCCGGGCCTTGGGGAGCCAAGCACGTGCTCATGTGGGGTCACTCGTCACGGGTCACTGCCTGGCCCACCAGCCTCCTCCTCCACCCCGGCTACGGCCCGGCTCGGAGCCAGGGGAGGCTGCCCGTGGGGAGCCGGACAGGCTGGTCCGAGGCCCACCGTGTGCGACGGGAGGTGACCCAGGCAGTGGGCCCTCGTTCCCTGTCCTCAGACCCAAGGCCAGCGTCTCGGGCTACCAGCCGGCTCCCTGGCTGCCCTCAGTGCTCCCTGGGCACTTGCCCCAGTAGGAGGAAGGCCCACGCGCCTCCCTGGAGCCCTGCCCCCGTCGCCGCCCCAGGGAATAGGAGCGAGCCAGGTCAGCACGTAACTCCTTTCACTCTCCGCGCTAGATGGCACCTGTGGGCCCGGGTCTGGGCTGCCAGCGCTGCCACCTGGCTCTCTTCTGGCTCTGGGCCCTCAGAGAGGTCCAGTTCAGGGAGAAAACGGGTGCCCAGCTTTCCACAGAGCTGGCCCTGAGCGCACTCCAGAACCTGGCATGTTCTTTATCCTGCCCTTCTGTTGGCAGCAGTGCACACACAGTCAGCAAGCCCTGGCAGTCACTGTGATGGCTCTAGGCCAGCCTCAGAAGCCTCCAGGACAACTGCACATGGATTCAGGAGTTCGGAGCTGGCAGGGCCTGTGGTGGGCACCTTTTCTTCACAGGGGATTGATTCACTGTGACTAAGAGAGGGGCCTGGTCGCTGGCCACAGGCTCTGTCATGAGCATGGCAACTTCATGAGGAAGGATGTTTTTAGGTGCCATCAGAGTGGGATTTGGGGCAGACATGTTGGCATGGGTGTGGTGGGAGGCTGTAGGTGGCAGACAACAACTCACCATGAGGAGGGACTTGCTTACGGCTCACGATGCTGTGGGAAGCTGTGAGCACTTGTCCCCAAGGGCATCCATACAGGACAGGGATGTGTGGTAAGGATCTCCAGCCTAGGGTGGCTCTTTTCTGACCCAGAAACTTGGAGGTCTGGAGTTTGGTTCAGTCGGTGAATTTGTCAGAACATTCTGTATGCCGCCGGGTACCTATATGACGTCCTGCTGGGTCCTAGGGCCTGGCGCACAGGCTGCCACTTAGGAAGCAGATCTGCCCCCCACACATTGCAGGACTGGGAAAGCACAGCTCACTTGTACTCCAGCCGCTGGCCAGCCTAATACACCAAAACTGGCATCAGGTCCCACTGGGGCACAGTGACCTGCCTACAGCCTTGCAGCAAGCCAGATACAGACCCAGGTTCCTAGCCCCCAGCCCTGGGCTCTCCTGGCCCATCAACCACACTGCCCAGCCTGAGGCCTGTGCCTACTGGCCTCACCGTCTTGGGGCACTGCAGGTCCCGGGCCAGGTTCACGAGCTGGTCATGGGAGATGGGGTCCACCAGATTGAGGAAGGCCATGTTCCTATAAAGGATGTCAGTGAGGAGGGTCCCCTCGAGGCCCAGGTCCTGTGAGTGGTGAGAATTAAGTGAGCCAGGAATCGGGCCTCCCTTCTCCAGGCCTGGTCCAGCCAGCCAGGGCCCCTCACACTCATTTTCCTCTCTCTGTTCCCTCCCTGAGGCTTGTTGACATCTCCCCGAGGTGATGACAGACCAACTGTCCAGGGGCAGGTAGACTAGGTGAGGAGAGGGTCGGTGCCCTGGGGGCCTGAGGGAGGCGATGACACAGGTCCTGGAGCCCTTGGACTGGTTGCCTCAAGGACAGGCATTGGGCTTGTCCAGGGGATTCTACAGGGGCTTCTCTGATGATCCCCAAATGCCTCTGGCCTCCAGCATTCCTTCTGGGCCCTTTACCTCTCCCACCGGTCCCTGAGCTCTCCTGAGCTGCGGCCATCGTCCATTTGCTGACAGGTCCAGACCACTCCTGTGGAGGCGGACCTCTCTCTCAGCTCAACTGTCCCCCAAGGCAGCTCATGGGTGTGTTCATCTCCTGACCTTGAGCCGGTCTTGCCTCCGGTGCCCAGCTCAGCAAAAGGTGTCATTGTCCCCATCTTCCCCTTGGGCAGGCATCTCCTGTGCTCTTCCCTTACCCCTCTCCAGCCAGCCCTCCCTCCTCACGGCTCAACCGCCTCCTCCTGGGGCTGCCGGCCTCGCAACACGTCTCCCATCCCCTCCTAACAGAGCTGCCAGAGCCAGTCCCATGAAACACACACCTGAACTTGACCCTTAACCCCTTTTGTGGAGACCAAATGCTCTTAGCCAGTGAAACTGGAGACTCACAGTCTGCTGGCTGGGAACTCTCTACAGCCCAGCATTCACGCCCTCCCCGCTCCACCAGCCCCCTTGTCCAGCCTCCAAGTCTCCCACCCTCGAAGAGACCCTGGTCTGCCCTGGCCTTCCTGCTTCCAGTCCTCGGCCTTCTCCTCCTGTTACTCCATAGGCCCGGTGTGATGCTGAACCTCCTTTTAGAGGGCCCGTTTAGAGGATATACTGACAAGTTGTTGGGGCAGGCACAGCTAGGGGGCCTCTAGACCCCATATGGGCCGTCCCCAGGCCAGACAGTGACATGTTCTGTACATAACCCACTGCACACCAGAAGACAGGCCAGGCAGCAATGCCCAAGGACCGTAACTGTAGAGTCCCTGTGGGTCTAGGGCAGGACAGGCCCCTCACTGGGCCTGGAATTGGTGCCTTGGACTCCAGAGGCCGTCTCTGTGCTTCTGGATGATAGTCTAACTGATCTGGTGCTGCTCTGCTGTTTGCATTTTACACACTTAAAGATGCAGGTGCCAGCTAGACAGGACCCTGCAGGGAGGGGTGACTGGTGAGCCTGGGCTGACCCAGACAGGGCCCCGGATCAGCCTGCCTCCACTAGTCTGGACAGCTCCTCTTAAAGGGCCAGACCCACCTTTCCTGCCTGCTGGGCCCAGAGAAGGGAAACCCAGCACAGGAGGAATGGGGCTGTGAGGCTGGCTGGCTGGTGAGCTCTGGCCTTGGCTGCCCCCGAGTTTGCTCTGTGGCCCTAGGCTCACCACTGTTCTCCAAGCCTCAGTTTCCCATCTCTATCATACACCTGCAGCCCAAAGACCTGCACAGCTGCTTCTGGCTTATAGGACAGGGCAGACTGTGGCGGCAGCTGCTGCGGTGGGGGGTGCACTCAGGCAGAGAGGGAAGTGGCTTGCCCAGTGATGACGCGGGGTCCAGAACCCATGTCTCCTAGAGCAACCTAGGGCCCTGGAGCCGGGACTCAGGGACCCCATGTGTGGGGCCAGAGCCCCCACCTGTCCAGTTGTGTGATGTACAGATGCCGGCTGGGTGTACTCATTGGGTGTGAGCTGCCTCTTAGGAGACTGGGTGATGTGTGCTGTGGCTCGTCCGGGCTGCCATGGTGTCACGGCGAGGCTGCACTTGCTGACCAGCCGGTCTGTCGCTTTCCAGAGTCCTCTCTCCAGGGGCCCGTGTAGCGCCTCCCTTCACCCTGGAGGAGGGGAGGCTGCCTTCTTCCCATGGCCCCTTGAAAACAAGATGATGCACACTCCCCACTTGCCACCCCTCCCAGCCTCCCTCCTTGCCTGCCAAGGCCTGAATCTGGGCTTCGAGCTGCAGGTTTGGGGCACGCTGCGCACGCACAACTCGAGTCAAACCGCAGAGACTTGGTCACGGTCACAGCCCGTCCCCGCGGCCTCACCGGCCCTCCCTAGCCGACTGCCCTCCAACCGTCGCCGCCTCGCGCAGACAAGACAGTCCCCAGCGGCCAGCCGTACCCCCCACCCCCGCGAACCCGCCCGTCCCGGGTCCACCCTGCTTCCCGCGCCGAGGCCAGCTCCACATGGCCTCCCGGCCCCTTCCCGGCCCGCAGCCCCCGGCCCCTCCGCGGGCTCCAGCCCCGGGCCGGCCCGCTCCTTCTCTCGCCTGCCGCAGGAGGCGCAGCAGCTGCCGGGCGCGCTCCGGCCGCCGCTCGCGGAGTGTGGACTGGATCTCGCGGAGCCAGCGCACCCGGCGTTCATAGGGCGCCGGCCTGCTCCCTGCCGCCGCCCCGGCCCCCGAGCTCGCCTCGGGCCCAGCCCGCCGAGCGGGCGGGAGACCCAGCCGTCTGCGCCCCGCCCCCGGCCCTCCGGCCCCGCCCCCGGCCCTCCGGCCCTGCCCCCAGTCCTGGAGGCGCCGGGGGCGCAGCGCGAGGTCCGTGGCCTCGCGCCGGAGCCGGGGCTGGAGCGGGCGAATGAGGCGCGTGCCTGCTGGGCGCTGGACCTCCAAGCACTCAGTTTGGGGGTCTCGCTGGGAGAGGCCCCCACCCGCCCTAGACCGGGCTCGGAAACTCTGTCGCCGGTGCCCGGAGCCGCCGAGGGAGGCGCTGAGCCGCGTCAGGACGAGGTGGCGCGTGGCGTTCTAAACCCTCTGGCCACGGCGCTGACTGCATCAGCTTTTTGACAGTGCAAAGAGCGCTGGACTTGTAGTCAGGGCGGGGTGGGCGGGAGTCCGTTGCCAGCCGCAGGCAGTGCCATCACCTGCTCTCAGGAAACCTCGCCCTCAGGGAACAGATGGAGCAGCTGACCTGTCCACCCTGCACGGGCACTCCTGAACCGACAATCACTCACTGCCCCTCTGCCGGGTGGGGGCAGGCCTGGGCAGAATGGGTGGGGCCCGCCGCCTCTGACCTGGGCCTGGGAGATAAACGGGACGGGGTGTGCTGGTTAACCGTTAAGCCCAGCTCCGGGCAGGCTGGCAGTGGGCCAGCCATACCCGCACCTGCCTCCAGTCTTTCTGTCCGATAGGAGGGGCGGAGCATTGTGAGGAGGCAGGGTTTCCCCGGGGTAAAGGCTTGAGCTAGCGACCCCCCAGCTTCTCTCGAGGGGCTTAGGCTGCCTGCCACCTGCAGCGCTCCCGACAGCAGCTCTGGGCCCCTCACGTTCCCCGGGTAGGGGCGCATTCGGGGTTCTAGGCCCTAGACCCTGGACCGCCACTGTGCGGAGGGTGTGCCCACCCTGTGAGGACGCGTGTGTGCAGGGGTGTGCGGAGGGTGAGGAGACTCTGTCCCAGGGAACATGGGGGTGAGCACAGAGTCAGGCCCCTTCCTTGTGTTAAGCGCCGCCCCCTAGGAGTGTATTCAGGGATAGGGTGCTGGGCTCTGTGGTCCCCCGGGGCTGAGGCCCTGAGACAAAGCCCAGGGTGGCTTAGTGTCCTTGTTCCTTGACACCCACCGAAACCCAGCCTCTGTTGCCACCTGCTTGCGCACCCCCTTGGGGCCCATCCCTAGCCTCTTTCCATCCTGGGCCCCCCTGTCACTGACCTCAGCAGCCTTTCCTTTGCTGCTCTGTAGCCAGCATTGTCCTGGGGCTGTTGGCACCACAGTTTCCTCCCTGGCAGACCTGCATGGCCGCCTGCCTGCCTTCCTCCAGGGCTGAGGTGCTGTCGCTGATCTGACGTGGTGGTGACGGGGCCAGAGACTTTAGCAGCAGCCCCATTGCCCCAGAGGCTTCTCAGAACCCCTTTCAGAGCTGGCAGCTTGGTAAGACCCTCCTCCCCATCCCCCACATGCTCAGGGCCGGAGCCAGAGCTGGGCTGCCTCTCAGGTCCTGACCATATCCTTCCAGAGGCTGAGCCAGGCCTGGACAGGGTCCCCTTGACTGTGAGGAGGAGGAGACAGAGGGGTGGGGGTGGGGGTGGGGGAAGGGAGGGCTGAGCTTGGGTATCATGAAGGGGGCGACCCAGGCAGTGGCATGGGGGGATGCCCAGCTTAGAGAGTCTTGTGGAAAGTGGAGAACTACCTCCCAGCCGCCCCTCCCTACCCACCCTACCCTCTGTATCCTTGGCTGAGAGATTCCTGGACACATTCCCAGGAAAGCAGGGAGGGTGGCGTCGGCCCAGACCCCTGCACGGGCCCCTGTCAGTCTCCCGTGGGTGTGGTTAGGTTGAGTTGGTTTGGGGGTACTTTTCTGGCCTAACCTGATTTGGGCAGGAGGCCCCAGAGGCAGAACTCTGCCCTGGGAGTGGGGGCATCATGTCCTCTCACTAGAGTTCATGTATTCTTACCTGAAGGCTGTGGCCCCTCTTCCTGGAGTTGTCCTGGGCGGCAGAGCTCTCCTTGTGGAGGCCTCTTGGTGGGACGGCTGGGCTGTTGCCCTTTCAGCCCCCAGGGCTAGCACGGCGGTTCAGGGGCTCGCACCAGGTCTCAGGCACAGCCAGGGTGGTCGGAAGTGGGGGAGTCGGAGAACCAGGTGGGAAGGCCACAGCTGGAGCCCAGACCCTGCTGGGGCATCCTGCACCCCAGGTGTGGCCTTCCAGAAGGCAAGCAGCAGCAAGTCACACCTTCGGCTCCCCAAACCCTAGGCCACCCATGTCGTGGCCCAGCTGGAATGACAGGGAACCAAGGTCCAGATGACCTAGCAGGCAGGGAAGAGGGCCACGACTGGGGCTGGAACTGGTCCTGCCCCACCTTTGGGCCTCCTCTCTACCCATTCAGTGGGCAAGTCCGAGCCCAGGAGGAAGAAGGCCAACCCACAGATGGTACCTCTGCAAGTAGCCAGGTGACACTGAGCCTACTGGCAGCCACCGCAAAGGACACAGGGTGGTTTTGGAGGAAGGAAGCAGGTGAATGGTCCACAGGGACAGTGTCCCCTGGAGCTGGTTCCACAGGGACGGGCTGTGAACCTGCCGCAGGGCCAGCAATCGCCGTGCAGCTCACAGCCGTAGGCTCATGCTTAGATTCGAACCTCCTGGATCTGCCCCTCACTGGCAGAACATAGGTGAAGTAGGTAGCTGCGTTAGTTTTCGGTGGCTATCACAAATTAGCACAGATTTGGTGGCTTAAAACCACAGAAATTTATTCTCTCACAGTTCTGGAGGCTAGAGTCTGGAATCAAGGTGTGGGCAGTGCGCTCTCTGCAGGTGGCAGGGCCTTTCTCCAGCCTCTGGGGATGGCCTGCAGTCCTGGGCATTCCCTGGCTCACAGCTGCTTCTCTCCACTCTCTACGTCCGTCTTCACATGACCTTCTCACCTGTGTCTGTCTGTCTGTCTTCGCATGGCCTTCTTATTAGGACACTGGTTGTTGGATTTAGGGCCCACCCCAGTCTCATCTCAACTAATGGCATCTACCAAGAGATTTCCAAGTCAAGTCACATTCAGAGCTCCCAGGTAGATATGAGCTTGAGGGACACATCATTCAACCCAGTGCAGTAGCTTTGGTAAACCTATTTCCTTGTCTGTAAAATGGGGAGGATCAGATGCGCCTCTGGCAAAGGTGGTGTAGGATTAGGCACAGTGAAGGAAGGGCCCGGCACACAGTGGCATTGGATGGGTCTGAGTTCTTTTGACCCGACATCCATCATTCAGTGATGACCACTGGGTCCTGTGAATTCTGTGGAGACCAGGACAGACTGAGGAGGTCCAAGTAACAGCTCCCTACCTGACCGGGAGGTGGGGGGCTTCCAGATGAGGTGGCTTTGAGGTTGGCGTGACGTCCCAGTGGGAGATCAAACAGCAGAGCTGAACCCACAGAGGAAGGTGGGGCCTCATCAAGGTGGTAAGTTTTCAGGAGGGCAAAGGGGTCCATTGAAGGGTTGTTTGGTGGGATAAGGACATGTTCAGATTTGCTTGTTGAGCACTGGGGCTGTAGTAGGGACACAGCATAGGGACTAGAGCCTCTGGGGAGTTGTCGCCAGGTGAGAAGGCGCGGCCTTCAGGAGGCCAGGGTTGGGTGTGCCGGTGGGGGGGGGTGTAGAGGTAGGGCAGCCGGACAGGGCCAGCGAGGATGCAGTGGTGGCTACCCTGGTGTAGACTCTGGCTAACATGGCTGCAGGAGTCTGGGGAGGGCAGTTGCTTAGTTCAGGTTTGGGCACGTCGACCTGAGGCATCAGAAACAGCAGCCCATGGGAGGTTTCAGCAGAAGTCAGCTAGAGAGTAACTGAGTCCCGCTCGAAGAGGTGGAGGAGGCCGAGGAACCAGATGCTAGCAAGGGGTTGGGGAGTGAGGTTCCTGGAAGCCCAGGTGGGTCGAACAGGGCTTGCACAGAAAGTTCTGGACAGTTTTGGCATCAGTAAACCCACAGGCCACTGAGCCCCTGCAGGGTCAGGCATGTGGGGCTTGTTGGTGGGGTTGGGGGGGGTGCAGGCGTGGACAGGCAGGCTTGAGCCTGCAGCCCCCTTTAGAGACAAGAGTGTGTGTCCTTCCCTCAGCACAGTCCATGCCCCGGGATGGGGGTTGGGGTGCAAATGAGACTCAGCCTATTTCCCCTACCCTCTGAGGCTCCCAGACACCGCAGGGAATTACAAGGTGATGTGATAAGTGCTTCCTTGGGCAGGGAGGTCAGCATGGTCAGGAGGGGGAGCACTTCAGACCTGTGGGCTGCTCACTGGGCAGGGGCAGAGCAGCTGCGGGCCTGGATGTTGGACTCAGGAGGGTTGGAGTCATGAGAGTGGCCAGCACTTACTGCAGCCCGTGCACAACCATCTCAGTGAAGCTGCCCATAGCTGTTTTGATTATCCCTGCTCTCCAGGTAGAAAACAGAGGGCAGGAAAAGGAGACCCTGGGCAATCAGTGGCTGGGGTCAAATTTGAACTAGGGACCTAGAGCCCTTTCCCTTGGCCACCCTGCCATCCTGCCTCTGAGTCTGGGAATTGAACTTGGTCTACCAGGTGTCAGATCCGGCCCTGCTGCGAGATGTTCCCAGGTACTAATGAGCTGACATCTATGGAGGCCCACGCACTTGATGGTGCACCAGCTTCCACACTCACATCAAAGGCAGGTGCTGAAATGGGGGACCTGCAAATGGCTCCAGGGGATGTCAGTGAGGCTCTGCCTGTGCTGGCAATGGGCCAGAGCTCACTTCCCCAGCTCCTTCTAGGCAACACCAGCATATTTACTCAGCTGCCGGCTTTCTTCCTTCCCTACAATGGGGTCTGCGTAGCTCTGGCCAGGTAGCCTCAGGGCCTGGGGTGGCCCCTGCTCCTCCACTTTGTGGCCTCAAACAATGGGCAGGATGTGTGGCCAAGCCCACCTAAAGCAGGTCAACCCTCACAGCTCCAGAAGCTATATTGGAGCTTGACGTTGGGAAGAATTTGCCAAGCAATCAGTTTCGCTGTCTTTAAATGTAGTGAGTTCCCTGTCAGGGCAGGTGTACAGGCCAACCTTTTTAGGATGCTGGAGATGGGAGATCGGAGACCAAACATTTGAGATTCTGTGATCCTAAAGTTCATTAAGATTAAAGTTACGGTGCTTGGAGTCAAAGTCACTTTTGTTCAGCCCTTTTACCAAATGTCTCCTTGGTGCAAATAGCAGGGCACACAGAATGTTCTGGATATTCTCGGGTTTCCTGGCTGCCATTGGGCCCTGAGATCCTGTCCCAGGAGTTCTGATGATGCATCAGGTGCTGCCTGCATCCAGATCCCCTGTCCACCTGGCTCACTCCCTGTGAGGCTTGCGCCTGTTTTGGGATGTTGTGTCTCTGCCAGCGATGGCCCACCTAGGGCATGAGGCTCACCTGGCACTTCCTGGGGTTCAGGCACAGCCACTCCCAGGATAGCTGGGTGGGGCATGTCAGAGACTGCAACGAGGCACCACTTTCAGGAAGTGGACTGCAGGGCCTTCCCCAGGTCATGGGTCACTGTTCTGCCAAGTGGCTTTGAGCAAGTCCCTTCCCCTCTCAGACTGTGGTTTCCTGTGCCAGGAACACTCTTCTTGCCCCACCAGGTCCTGTTTTCCCAGTCACAGAGGTGGGGGTCAGCCTGACCCTCCAAGGACAGGAAGGGCCTCGGAGGACACTGTGGGCCCATTTCTCAGAGAGAAATGGGCCAGGTGCCCTGCCAGCCCCACCCCTGGACCAGCCCTTGAGCCTCCTGTCTGACCAAGGACCCTGGGCACTCTAGGTTGCTGGTGCCAGCATAGCAGGGGTGATTAGGAGATGAAAAGCTTCAGGATGGTGGGGAGACACCTCCGTCTAAGGACACAGAGCACATCTCAGCCAGGCCCCAGCTACCAACACTCCCTTCTTCCCACGCCCCAGCATGACTCCTGAACAGGTTGAGGAGCTAATGGTCACTCACCAGGGTCCTAATGAGTGAGCTGGGGTTAATGGGTTACCCAGCCCAGTGACACATTCACCACCTCCCCTCGCTCTCAAAGTCCAGACTCACTGGCCTGGTCTTCTGGGTCCGAATCCAGCCACTTTCCTTTCAAACGCTGATGCCTCAGGGCTCAGGAGGGCCCTGGGAGGTCAAAAAGCTCCCGCACACCCACCCTGCTCCCGGGGTGCCTGCAGGACCCGGCCTCCAGCTCAGACAGTTCCCTCCACTTGGCGCTGTACGGCCCTTCCCAGTCCCTCCCATCCGGGCTCTGCTGGATGCCCAAGCTCTCCCCACCCACTCAGTGCCTGCTTCTCCCTAAGGGTCCTGCGCTCCTCCTTGGCCAATCACACTAGCTTATCTCCAATCTTGCCGGGGGCTCCTTGAGGGAAGAATCCAGATAGGC